TAAATCTTGAAGGGACACAGAAATAGGCAACCCCTATTTGTAGGACTTTGCTCTAATTTCCAGCGAGATTAGGGTTATTGTTAAAATGAAGATTAGGGTTAAGGTCAGCGTTAAGTTTAGGGTGAAGCTTGTTAGGAGCCGCCCTAATAGACTTGCTCGCGTACAGCCCGGGTGAGACGCTATCGGTCCGCCCACACACAAAGAACCGCACGCATGCGCGGCCCTCGAGGAGCCGACACCGTGCGAGGCTGTTGGATAGGGATCAAACAAGCAGATTGCCAATCGAGTGGCTACTCGCTCGAGGACACAATCTGATTGGTCCGATGTTAAACGCTTGCTTGCTTGCTTAAATATCCTTGCTAGGTAAGCAATAAGGACTTTCTTTTCTTGCGCCCTTGTCTAATTTTTCTCCTTGGAGGATTAGAACAATGCATCTGGGCAGGCAGAAATCTGGGCTTTTGGGAACATCACAACAAATGTAAGGTTTAGGTCAAAGTTAGTGTTTAGTTTAGGTTTAAGGTTTGGCTTAGGGTTGATGTTAAAGAGCAAAAATATTTACTCTTCCTTGGAATGTCGAGGAAAACTACCTATATTGCCGGAGTTTCGTATTCTCGTGTCTTACTGTCATCTGTATTACAGGGGAGGGAAGGTTCACATCCTCACATCCTACCTTATTTTAGACCTATAGTTCGACATTTCATTGAAAAAATGATTCAATTATCTTTACTCTTTTAACTTTTAATCCATCAGGCATAAGGAATGCGGTTTTCTCAACGAAAGTAATCAACTCACCCTCTGTGTGCATCCCTTGCTTCATCCAACTCGAAATTACTCAAAATGTTGTAGAGTTTGGAGGCTCTTGCAAGCAGATCCTTATTCAAATTCTCGCAATCGAGGCAAAACAAGCTTAGAGGGACAGCGTATCGCAATTCCAAAAACTGGCGCTTCAAATCCCTGTAAGCGTCCACTTGCTAAAAATATGCAAACATGTTAAAAGTGAATTTTAGTTATGTGTGAGTTTGCTCAATAATCGTAGACGATAATACCTATGTATGGAATAGTAAACTACCGGAAGAATATATTTATCAATCAGATTTCTAAGATTGGTAGCGCTACCTTCAGATAACTTTGTCTGGTGGCATCTGCGCTCAAACTTCATCTTAGGAATTGGGTTCACATGTTTTTCTTTACTTGAAGTTTACAGATTGGTAAGACGACCCACTTTCTTTCGACTACCACGAAGATCGTTTGACGTGCACTGAGGCTTCTCTAAAAAAACGCTTTAGTTTTAGAAACTTTCTAGCAGCAGCCTCTTACATCCATCTCTTCACAGGTTATTTTCAATCCAAAGTCTAAAACCAGAAAGCCAAATGAAGCTTGGTCAATAAATTCGCTCAAAAGTTTGGATGCTGTGGGTGTCTAGCTGGCAGTGTAGTCAGTGTGTGTGGGCAATCGGAAATTAACTGCACCAAACTCACTTGCAAGGCAAGGCACAGCACTGAATAGATCGTACTGATGCTATTGTTTAAGTCTCTTGTTTAGTTTTCACAGGAGGGGGCGTCAACGGAAAAGGCATCATTTTGCGGTGCATAGAAGAGAGCGTAGAATTCAAGACTTGGGGTTGATTGCCATGCGTCTTATCTGCTACTTTGGCCGTCACATAGTGAACGATGAAACCCGGGGTTTCTCAGCAAGTTAATGGACGCTGAGAAGAAGAAAAATATACGATGTCTGGGACAAGACTTTTATTCGCCCGACGTTTCGAAGTCCGTCGCGATTTCTTTATCAGCGACATTAGCGTGCAAAGTAACAGAAACTAGCAATTAATGCACTTGGGAGTTGTGGTATTTATAGCATACAGTCACTATGATACTGCCCACTTATGACGATTAACGACTCCCCTATCGAGGATAATTGCCCACTTGAGCACTAGTGGCTCTATGACCGGC